ATCTTAACCTGGATTAAAGCAGGACTAAACCAGGACTATATCAAATCCGAACCAGGACTAAATAAGATCTAAACCAGGACTAAATCAGATCTTAACCAGGACTAAAGCAGGACTGAAGCAGGTCTAAAATATTCAGAGTGCTCTTAAAGGCCCTGTACTTGATTTATTCCATATATTTGAACAAAATGTTTTACCCCAGTACAGAAATCTTGTATAAGAAGCTCTTGAGGTTAAATTAAGTCCAGTGTGAACTGTCTGCATCTAGTGTTTTCCAGTCCAATAATCCAGTAAAACTCTGCTCTGGTGTCTGAAAGTAGTGAAAAATACTTCTACACCCATCATGAGGAATAAGTGTGGACTACTGCAAACTGTTTTAAATGAACTAGTTCAAGTTTAAGACGGTGAAAATCAGGTAGAGCGCCTTTAAATTGTAACCCAGAGCAGTTTTATATTGCATTATTGATCCTCTGTCCACACTCGATGGTGGTAAGATCTATGTGTGTAGCCACAGCTGCCCCGGGGCTGACTGATGTAAGTGCCAGTCTGTACCCCTCCAACCACCAGCGTCTCTTTAAAGCTCCTAGATTACACTAAATAGATTCTTCAGAGCTTTAAGACATGATATAATGTTGTTCCCTCCTCAAAAACAGACCTGGAGTTGTGTTTTGTTTCATTCACACATGTTTGAGTAGAAGTAACATATTTTTCAGACTGTAAGGCGCTCCAGAGTATAAGTCGCACCTGCCAAAAAATGTGTAATGAAGAAGAAAAAACATATATAAGTTGCACTTTTGGGGGGAAATTTATTTGATAAAATCAGAGACCAGGAACCGACATTTCCTGCTGAAAGTCAAGTTGTAGTAATAACGATAGAAGAGAGAACAACAGACTGTTAACGTCACATATGAACAGTTCTTCAGATAAACTATAACATAAACAACAGAACAGAACAAGTTTAACAAACTCTCCATCTCACTCCAAATCACTAAATCTATTCAATTCTTCATCCTCGTGTCACTTCTGAGCAACTCCTCGACCTCCGGAGGTAAACAGAGCGACACTTCCTCTTCTGTGTCGCTGTCGTCAGACTCAGCATCAGTTCCAGTTAGAATTATTCTGGTCTTTCTGAATCCTGACAGGATGGTTTCATTGTCACTGAAGTCCAGACTTTGTCCATCCATCCAGTGACTTCAGGAAAGTTTCATGTCGCATCCTCCCAGTGTCACAAGTTTCTCACTCACTCCAAACTTTCTTTCTGCTGCTCGATTATTGTTTTCAGCTGCAGATTTCACGACTTGCTGTTTGTAATCAGCAAAACATGATTTTCTTTTTGGGGGCATTTGTCTTCAGTTTTCTCAGTGTCTTTATAAATTTGTTTAAATGTTACATTGTTCAGTGATTCAGAAGTAATGGTGCGATCGACTGACATGATACAGACAGAACAGAGGCTCTTTCTGCAGGAGACATGTGCAGTAGAGTGAAGTGACAGTGGTACAGGAGGAACAGGAGCAGCACATACTCACACACAAGACTAGAGCGCCCTCTTGAGGCTGTCAGTGTGAAAGTTTTAATATATAAGTCGCAGGAACCACCCAATCCATGAAAAAAAAGAAATACTACTCATAGTCTGAATAATACGGTATTTATTATTTTTAAATTTATTATTTATTATTAGTCTGTCTGCATCTCAAACTTTTTTTTTTCTGTTTGAGAGAAGAACTCAGAACTGCAGGGTTTGTGTGTTAAACGTGTGTGAATGAAACAAAAACACAACTCCACGTCTGTTTGTGATGAGGAAACTACATTCAAATCAGAAAACAGCCCTTTTCTGAGAGTGGACTTGCCTCTCCACAGATCTAACATGTAACTGGCAGTGTCAACTAGGTTTCTATTAACAAGAAATATGTTTAATGCCATGCTTTCTTCATGGAGACAAGCGGGCGGCAGACAGTCCAAGAGAAAATTTACATAGTGCATCTTCTTACCATGTTTAAGCGGATCGTCTTATCGGAAACCCTTCTATTCCTCATGTTATTTTTCACCTCAAAACATGAATAAAAGAAGTTTGGAGGCGTTTGATTGAAAAGTGCAATAATGGAGAAAAACAGCGATGGGCCTCCAGTGACAGCGCCGCCATGAATAAACCATCGGGGAAAAGGTCTCACGGTGATTCCGATTAAAAATTTAAATCGATAAAGTTCAACAAAATCAGGAACAGGGGATGACAGATAGACTGATGAAGTGGAGTTTGGCTCGATCATTTAAAAGGCGCATTGTGTAACTTTTTAGGCGGGGAGTCCATCAAATGCTCTTCTCCGTGGAGATGTCAATGTTCTTTTCTGGAATGCTCGACTTTACATTTATTCAATTACAAGTGGATTTATTACAGTTCCAAAATACCTAGAAAAACAGACATTCTGACTGCGAGTGTGGTCGCCTCTCCACAGATCTGACCCGTAACTTAGTTTGGTTTGGTCTCCGTGAAGATAGAAAGGTTTAATGGCATCCTGTGAAACATTCCTGACAAAGCAATAACATTAAAAAAAACTATTTGACAAACCCTTCACCAGAAAAGTTACGAATGTAGTTGTGATGTGATTTAAGTGTAGGGAAATGTGGTATATTCTAAATACTAAAATACTGTTTTAGAACACCCTAACTTTTCCAGTTATTTATTGCAATTCAAGTCGTGCAAGTTCAATGAAGAGCTTGAAATGGTAAAAAGATAAGAACTGAACAGACAGAGGTAAAAAAAAAACACAAGTCCAAGCTCTGCCAAAACTACCTCAGGAAAAAAGAACAAGATGGTAAACTTGAAAACCTGGAGTGTCCAGCAGCACAGTGTCCAGACTTAAACCCCATCGAGCTGGTTTGGGATCAACTGAACAGAAGAGTGAAGCAACCGACAAGTGCCACACATTTATGGAAACTTCTGCAACAGACTTGGGAAGAACTTTCCGAACAATATTTGATTTCTGTTGTAAAAAGAACGAGCCACGAGTGTGTTCAGCTGTTATAACTGCCAAAGGTGGACACTTTAATCAATCAACAGCTTAGAATATGTTTTGGTCAACAGTAAATGGTAAGAAACTGGAAAAAGTCTGGTGTTCTAAAACTTTTGAAGTAGTGAAGATGGTAAATTAAATTGAGATTATTAATTGACTCTCGCAAAAAAAATAAAAATAGTAATAGCAAATTTGGGTATGTTGCAAATTTACAACAACTAGAAACAAATGATGCCAAAAGTTTCTAGGAAGGTCCTGCATATAGGTACTAACTGGCACTGGAGGAATACAGCCGCTATCTCGACTTTTGTCTTGATCCAAACGGTTCGTGCATACTCGACATTAAGGAGCTATGCACAGCAAAACAAAAATTCAGTTTTGGACAATTGGACAAAAGTTTTTTGAGAGAAGACGTTTTACAGTTCATCCAGGGTGCTTCTTCAGTTCTGGTCAGACACTTCCTTATATCTGCCTGAAGGGAGGAGCTAACTACACTGAAGTAGGGTGACCAAAGGTTTGTTTTTCCTCGGAAATGTCTGTTTTTCATGTCCTGTCCTTGGCCGTCTGGGTTTTTTTTTATAAAGTGATGCAAATGTCTGGGTTTTCATTATCTTTCTTTGGACCATTAATAGGCGAGTTTCAGCTGACGTCATTGTTATTAAAAGCGCGCGTTGCATGCTGGGAAATATTTTGGTCGGAGGCAAGAAACACGGTAGCGTCAAACACAGTGCGTAACCTCACGTATTTATCCCCGATAATGGTCAATTCCTGCTGCATTATCGGATGCACAAATAGAAGCACGGAAGAAGGAAAATGTTTTTTTCGTATTCTGAGTGAAAAGAACCACTAACGGTGAATTAAACGTCTTTCAAACATTCGCAGAGCAAACGTAGAAGATCCTAACAAACCGTGGACTCCAACAAGTTCAACAACACATCGAGACTCTTGGAGGTTTTCATCTTTTCTGCTGTGAATGGCCCAGGAGTTTCCACCAATTATTGTGGATATCGCCAAAGTGAATATTTGTCCAGGTAGTCGGCGATTCCGACCAGAAATGTGGTTTGGTCCACCTTTTGTCGGGGTTGAAAAGGGTGATTTGTCGTCCGTCGATCCTTATGACCAATTTCTGTTCAAATGGTCTTGGGTCCTCTGCTGTTAGAGTGGATAAATAACCGGGATCAATACCCTTTACGTGCTTTCTCACTCCGTCCGTCATGTTGAATTAGTGTTTATTGCCGCCGACCAAAATAATTCCAGTCATGCAACGTGCGCTTTGGTCAACAGTGAAACTCTCCTATATCTGCCTGAAGGGAGGAGCTAACTACACTGAAGTAGGGTGACCAAATGTCCGTTTTTCCGGGAAATGTCTGTTTTTCACGTCCTGTCCTTGGCCATCCGGGTTTTCATGATCTTTCATTGGACCATTAAATTGAGCGGCTCTTGTAGCTCTCTGTGCATCAGAAGGAGCGAGCAGACACAAACAGTCGGTCAGTCTGCAACACAAATGGACATTTAAAGATGACTTGCACAAGAAATTCCCCACTTTTCGTCCCGGTCAGGATAAGCGTGAGGCCATGTGCACAGTGTACAAAGCAGGCACACATGTTTCGGTGTTCAGTGGCAGTGCCAGGGACGTCAGAGTTCACCAGGACACCGAAAAACATGAAAAAGCTTTCCCAGGTGAGAGCAGCTCAATGTCGATGACGAGGCCCCACCTCCCGCCCCCCGTACTGTGTCCTGGTTTTGACAAACGCACTGAAGCTGCTCTGAAAACTACACCAAAACTAACACACCTTCTTGCTTACAGTTTCTTTTTGGTAACTCGTTCTATAAGTTTGAGTTATAAGCATCTTTATTGCACTGTAACTTAAGTCCACCCTTGCAGCTTTTGGGCTCCTGGTGTTTTCACATTTAACTATTCACTAGATTCACTTCCATCTCTTCATCTTTTCTCATTGTGTCTCTTCTTCTTCTTCTTCTTCTTCTTCTCTGTAGGCACATACCTGACCCACGAAGCGAAGGGCTCCGACGACGCCCCCGACGCGGACACGGCGATCATCAACGCAGAGGGCGGCACGTCCGGAGCGGAGGACAAGAAAGAGTATTTCATTTAAACCGGGATCCCACAGCTGACGACGCGACGGAGAGAGGGGGGACGAAGAGAAGAGGACGAAGAAGAGGAGGGAGCGAAAACGTTTGGGAGAGAGAGAGTGAAGCTCCGAATAAACAACCGCCATTTTGTTTTCATTCTGTTCTTCACTCGGTCGGAGGGATACGGGGGGAAGGGGAGAGGGGAGGTTTGGCCGACGGCTGTTGGGTAACCGCTAATGGCTATTGGCTAACGGAAAATGGGAAACAGTGACACAACAGCGCTACATGGTACTACCCCTTTTTTGCATTGATACAGGGAAGTAAAGATTTTGCACTGACTAAAAAAATGGACAACAGAACAGAACCCGTAACCACGCCGTCTGGGGGACTCTTGCCGATGACTTGAATGCTTGTTCCCTTACTAACACGTCGCTCCGAATGCAAAATTGTAATCCATAATCCAACTTAATCCATGCATTTTAATCACGCATTTTCACACTTTAGGTTTGAATTTGATTTGCCGTTTTAATACTCCAACCGGACGACAATACGACCGTTTTATCTGCCTAAAATAACACGTCGTAAATAGGCAATGCACGATATTGTACCAGGAGAGGCCCACGTACGGCCTTATGTAGCTATAGGATACAGAAATGTAGTCGTAAAAACACTGAAATTTGAAATCATAATTTTTTCGTCATTGAAATGGAATACATGCATTTACAATAGAAAGCAACGAGGTGAAAATTGGTTCTGATAACTACTATATGCATAAAATTTGTCAGTAGTTTAATGTGATTTTTGACGAGCTTTTTTTACTACCTCCCACTAGGGCCAAAAGTTGAAACTAAATCATTTAAACGTTGAGGAATCCCATTTTAAACAGTGTTGAAAAGTGGTGAAGATGTGTTTACTCGGAGTGGTATGGTACAGGGGTGATTAAGTGAAAATGTAAGATAAATTACATAATTAAATTTATATTTTTATTTTCACATACATAAAGAAATTTGTCCGTTCCATTTTTCCACGATCAATTCTTTAAGACTTTGGTATATTGGTCTTTTTTTTTTATTTTATTAAAAAAAAAAAATAACTAAAAGGAAAAAGTGTTTCTAAATTTTTATTTTTATTTTCACACACACAGAAATTTGGCTGTTCCATTTTTCCCCGAACAATTCTTTAAGACTCTGGTATGTTGGTCTTTTTTTTTTATTTATAAAAAAAAAAAAAAATTACAAAAAGGAAAAAGTGTTTCTAAATTTAGATTTTGATTTGCACATACATACAGAAATTTGGCCGTTCCATTTTTTCCCGATCAATTCTCTAAGACTCTGGTGTATTGTTAATTTTTTTTTATTTATTTAAAAAAATAAATCACAAAAAGGAAAAAGTGTTTCTAAATTTTGATTTTTCTTTTCACATACGTACAGAAATTTGGCCATTCCATTTTTCCTCGATCAATTGTTTAAGACTCTGGAAAATTGGTAAAAAAAAAATATATTTATTTAAAAAAAAATAATTACAAAAAGAATTAAAGTGATTCTAAATTTAGATTTTTATTTTCAGATACATACCGAAATTTGGCTGTTCAATTTTTCCCCGATCATTTCTTTAAAACTCTGGTATATTGTTGTTGTTTTTTTAATTTATTTAAAAAAAAATCACAAATAGGATTAAAAAGTATCTAAATTTTGATTTTATTTGCACACATCATACAGAAATTTTGTCTAACCATTGCAAAATTAAAAATTGTTTACCCCATAAATTTTTCGAAACCCATATTGAACATTCACAGCTTTAACACACCTGTCAATATGACTAAAGAATCTTATATTTTCATCAAAAACTAACACATGTTTTTGGTGAAAATGTGTGACCATAACAAAGTATGTTCAAAAATGATATGAAAAACAATTCTGAAAAACATTCCAGTGACAAAATGATCTTGTTTATTTGGAACACTGCCCTCTTGTGGCCTGATCCATACTGTACCACTCCAGAGAACTCACTCCTTTACTGCTCGGACAACTATTTCAACAACAACAACAACAACAACACAGGCAGAACCATCTCCTCTTACTGTTCCTGCACTGTAAAAACTGATATCTGATGAGTTAACATGACTTAGAAAATTTGTCTTGATTTGACTCATTTTTACTAGTTTAGATTTTTTATTTTTTTTGCTTGCTTTTTGACTGGTTTTAAAGTAATATTCTTAAATCTTGTCAGCATTTTCTGCGATTAGAAAGAGTGATTTTAGTGTCTGCTGATATAGTTACACTTTTAATTTTTTCTTTCCATTATTAAAAACAAATACCTGTGTTTTAATAGACACTTCAAATTTGAACTCTCCTCCGAACTGAACCACACTTTTCCTAACAACATTACAGAGGATTGGCTGTAGACTTGACTATAAAAACAACCCAAGCTCATCATTGACCATTAGAAACTATTGGATCTCAACTCAATTAAAATGACCTTGCCTTAAATTGAACGCATTGAAAAAGTTGAATTAGATCTACTTAAAAAGGTCAAGTTGGATCTACTCAAATCGCGATTAACTCAATAATTTCAACTCATTTTAACTCATTTTTAGACACTGGTTTTTGCATTGCTTCGCCTCACCCCTCCATCCTCACTCACCTGGTTTAACTCAGATGCCCCGACAGCATTCCCGCCCTGTGCTCCGGACGGGCCCTGATGATGATGATGACGATGATGATATACATATATAAATATATATATAGGAGTATATAGCATTCTTTTTACTTGACACAAACTGTTTGGTGTTGTGTAAATACAGTCTAGTCTCTTTCTCTGTCTCCTCTGTCCTCTCCCACTCTCTCCTCCTTTAACGCACTGCAAAAAGTAACACCTCGAGTTTAAATGACTGGAATTCAACACACATGGATTTGTACAACATTTTGACTAGTTCATATTTAATGACTTATAAGGTCTAGGTGTTTGGGCTACTCCTTTTGGATGTCAACCTTGTTTCTATGATCTATTACCGTATTTTCCGCACCATATAGCGCACTCTTAATCCTCCAACCGCATCAAAAAAGCGACACAATCCAGAGCAGCCTATACACGAATCCACCCGGGCGTCCCAGCACGACTTCAGTAAACAACAAAGCCGCAAACACACACGAAGCAGACAGCGAAAAACACCCACAGCCACACTCATCACTCCGCACCGACGAGGAACGGAACGGAGGAAAGTGTCACTTCTAGACACGACTGAGTCTCTGCGAAAACGCCAACAATCCAGCGGTCCCAGCGCCACAATTGAACAAAGCCCAGAGTCACCGTGAACGCCACAAACAAAGTCCGACTGAGCCATCGAACTGTTGTTTTTCGTTTAAAGTCCGATGAGGTTTATTTGTGAAAAAAGTTTGAAAATAGACCATTTAATGACAGTGCGCCTTATAATCCAGAGCACCCTATAGTGCGGAAAATACGGTAGTTATCCAAAAAAAGTCAAATATTATACTAGTTTATGCAATGTACAAGATTTTAATTTGTTTTCGTTTTGGTTCTGCTATTGCCAACTTTTCCAGCGGACATGGAAAGCACGTTTTGAAAAAGGTTGCAGTACCTATTTTACACCACTGGGGACACATGCCGCTTTGTCTCTTTTAAGTGCAGTTTTCATTCTCTGCACAATTAATTTAAAATAAAACAGTTGTCTAATTTACACTGAAGAAACTCAAATATACCAAAACCAATAAGTCATTAAATTAACTCAAATCAGTTTTGTTGAGTTACTAAAAATAGCTTTACATTTTTTATTTTTGCCGGAAGCTATTATTATCTGTTATATTTTCTTAAGAAAATAAGAAATAAAAGTTACAACTAGTCAAATTTACATTGAACCAACTCAAAAAAGCTAGAACCGATATGTCCTTCAATCTAGTTAAATCTACTCAAAAAAACGAGTTTGAATTCACGTCATTTTAACTCATTCGGACGCTTATTTTTTGCAGTGCCTGAGTCCGTTTCTGCATTGACGGCATATACTCTTAAAGCCTGCCTGTTTTTATTACATACGTGGAAATGCAGAGTTGAAAATACCACTATCTGGAGTGTAAAAAGAACCATGTCGGAAACTAAACCTTAACTGCAAATCTTTGTACGAGGAATGTTTGAAAACCTTTATTTTTTATTTGATTGTTTTGGTTTTTTGGGGGGGAGGGGCTTGTGAGAGAAATGTAGTTTTACAATATGTTACGGTTCAGTGTTACGAGTTTACAGTGTCGATCCATAGGTCTTTTATTATCTTCTTTTTTTGTTAGCATTTAGCGGCATTCTTTTGTTTTTATAGTCAGTGTTAGTATTTTATTTTGATCACTTCTCTAATGTACAATTGTAGCATCCTGAATTGTACTCATTCGTTTAGCTGTATACTGTTTTTGTTACACTTTAAAATAACTTAAGTAGCCTTAATAAAGCATGAACAAAGACTTAATTCATAATGAGCTAATAGTTTATTACAGAGGGGGTATTATGCAATTATTTTTTTAGCTTTCTACCATAGTATAATGCTGTTTCCTCGTCAAAAACGTGTCTGAAGAGGCTGTCGATGTCATGCATGTTTGGGTAATATAGCGTTCTTTCCTGGGCCCGTGGTTACGCTTTAAGATTCTGAACAAGGCTCAGCCCAAAAGCCTCCGTTACCCATGCTCCCATGCTACATTTCTCCATAAATATACAAAAATATCGTACAAAACTGTATACAACAACTTCACAAACCTAAACATCACACGTATAAAACATGTTAATACAGTCGTCCCTCCTTATATCGCGGTTCATCTTTCGTGGTCTCGCTGTTTCGCGGATTTTTTAGTGCATGCTTTTTTTACAGCATATGAACATGTATTGCGTGTTACCGGCGTGTAGTAATTACACACGGGTGGGTCAGGACTAAACCAGGTCTAAACAAGAACTAATCTTGGACTTAAGAGAGAGAACCCCGAGCAAAGCGGTGTCCGGAAAGCGCGATCGGGTGATTGCCGCGCTTACC